ACATTCACAACATCTGTTAAATTGTTGTTAACTTTCTAGTTGGAGGTTGAGATGTTGAAAATGCAGTGTTCACTTTTAAAAGATTCTTATTGTTTAGTGGGTTTTTTCTTTTGATTTTTAAACACTGCGTTTAGTTTGGAAGAACTGGTGACAATAATAATACAGAAACATCACGGTACCCATGCAGTTAAGTGCAGAAACTTCTAGTGGTTCATGCTGGTCCTTCTATCTCTCAGAAGACGAGGTTTCACTTTCATCATATAGCTTTAGTTGCAGATCATTTTTCCTCTTTCTTAAAATGCTGAATGGAGGACACAAACTCTGCCCATCACAAATAGTAAAAGGATGGATGGATGGATGGATGGATGGAGGGAGGGAGGGAGGGAGGAAATTGAGTAAAGGTGAAGGTTATTCTTTTGCGACAACAAGGTTATTTGTAAACTTCACATATTTGCTAATGGTTGCCTTCCTGTGTATGCTAATGTTAGGCACGTCTGGCATGCAGAAAATGAGGAAGATAACCATCCAAACCACAGCCCTGCCTTTTAAAGCCATTATTCCAATATGCACCATTTTTTCATTTTTTTAATGATGCAGGTTAGACACCCAAGTAGATGGTTTTCAGAAGCAGCTTTTTACTTATTATCATGTAATACAAAGCAATGGAGAAGTTCACTTATTGCTCAGAATATGCCATTTATAAATGTATTTCTTAAATTTAATACCCTTGCATATTAAAGATTTTTTGTTGCTAGAGTTAATGAGCTTCATTGCCTCTTCCAGCAGGTGAAACAATGTAAACCACCATGCAGAGAGCAGTTCCAAGAAAATATCTATATACTTCCACTTCGTTTGCTTTAATACTATCCGGAACAATAACTGTATGTTTGGCACACACATCCTTTTTAATTCAAAGAATAACAATAATAAATGTCCAGCACACGTGTCCTTTATTTACAAATACTATACTGGGGAATAAAAAACAACCTACTTGCATGCAGTATATAATGGTGTAATGGAAACCCGCTAGTGATGAGGTTTTAAGTACTACTCCAATTAATATTACCTTCAGCAGACCTATTAGAACCAGTTTCTATATTGGATTTATCCATGTGTATGGAGCCACCATTTTCAGAGTTACTGTGTGTTATGTCTACTGTACAACCCTGGTGTGGTAGCTGCTGTAATCATTCACTGGACCTAAGCAGAAACAGCAGTTTGCTCCCAACACCTTAACCTCAGGAAAGAGGTCAACGTAACTTCTGCGATGTTCATGTTTCTGCCTTTGGAGACCATACCTTATTCCACTCTTTTACTCTTGAATTGTACAGCTCACAGCAATGTAGAGAGAGAGTCAAAGTTAGTTCAAAATGCTTAATTGTCACTTGATTCATGTAGACTTCAGATAGTTCCAGGAAGATCTTGGTAGGATATTTGAATGCACTAAATACAGAGAGACGAAACAGAGGTTTTTGGTAATAGTCAAAAAATGATTTACAGTATTCATATAGCACATTGATGTGTGTGTATGGGAGGTATTTCTTGTACATGGTGGCCTGTTGATTTCTTGTACACAATCAGCCGTGTTGCCCAAATGAATGGCAAAGTCATTTAGTTTCTTATTCATAGAGTCTTATTTTGCAGCTTCAGTTAGCATCTAATTTGGAACTTCCCTACAGGAAAGTGTGTTGTTCCCCCTCCATAAATGGACCAGAGAAGAGACAGGGTGTGGTACTCCCCCCCCCAAAAAAAAATGGACCACAGGAGACACACGGTGCCACATGCCCCCCCTTAAATATAACTGCCCCCTGATGGCTACTTCAGACAAAAAAATTTTGCAGTCACCCATTAGGGTGCTTCATCATTCCCAGGAGCCTGAGCTCCTGGTGGGGCCTCTCTTGGTGAATGAATATGGAGGAGGTGGAGGGAGAATATACAATCCAACAAAACCCCCCAGAGAAATGGATCTACAAAACCAGAGTGACTTTCTTGGAATAGGGTTACTGGAGTCTAACCTGGGGGTGCTGAGAGCGTTATATTAAATGGCATTTATGGTGTAGTACCTATTGAAGTCAGTAGGAGGCATTAGTATATATGCAGGCATTTGGTCAGTTCCTGAAGGTGGTGCTGCGTGTAATTTCTGCCTTGTTAGCCACGTGATTTAGCTTTCGTATTAGATACACACACAAAAATAAAATAAGGAATAAAATGTCTGTCTCCTGTTTGATTCATTCATTGAATTGATTGAGCTGAAGATGCTACACTATGCATTAAAATGATTTGATAATATGATTCACCTCAGGATTACAGGAAGTCATGCAAGTCGGCTTCTGGTACATGCATATGGTGTCATCTGTGTCAGAAAAAGGAGCGATATTGTAATGTTAATAGAGGCTACCTGAGGGGGTCATCTGATGCCACCAGGGTGGATTTTTGCAAATCATAGACTATAGAACCAGAGCTATGTTGTATATTTGCCTTGCTTATCTTACAGATGTTGAGATGTGTAAATGGGGACACATTCTGGCTTCTGTGAATATTGGAGCTCCATCAGTGAGGCTGCAAGGAGACAGGGAAGCTTTCCTGTTGTCTAAGACTCTCCCCGTGTCTTGAAAGAAATTGCCAAGGTGAAAGCAGAGCTGATTGAGACAGACTCAGACATTCTGTGCTCATAGAAAACTTCTTGACACTATGGGATACTGTAGATTAGTCAGTGAGTCCTGGTCACCATGGGGAACACCATTGGTAAACAAAAACCCCTCACTGCTTTGTATGTGAATTGTTAGTTTATTTATTTAGTATTTAAATAACATTGGTAAAAATTAAGATTGAAGGCAGATGAGCACAGGATTAGTATGAATTGTTTGTTGTTTGATCTATGGTGTAGCGATTAAAGGAGCCCCCAGGTGAACTAGTACACATGTTCACAGCTGTAGGGACCCGGGTCTAAATGGTGATCTAAACAAGCATTGAATAAAGATACAATTTACTTTTACACGTTTGTAAAACAGATGTCATGCTATCACCTTCATCCTATTTATACTTCTAAGACAGAAAGTAAACATGCTGATAGATAGATCGATATATATATCGCATCATGATGGATAGGAGCATCGTGAAGCTTCTTTTGTCACATGATAAAGTTTTTAATGCAGCTTTCAGATGATTTACAGTTGGTTTTTTAAAAATGCTAGACTGAATGGTGTAGCTTTGGTTAAAAGCAGTTAAAGTGTCTAGGTCCTCTGTAGCCACCAATACTTACACAATTTTTTTCTGGTTGCTCACAATCACTCATGGTCTAGACCAGGGGGTCTCCAAACCTACTGTCCAGTAGGTTTTCTATCCTACCTGGCTTCTGATGAGCCACACCTGTTCTCAGGTAAATACCAGGGCCAGGTGTGGCTCATCAGAAGCCAAGTGGGACAGAAAACCTACTGGATAGTAGCTCTCCAGGACCGGAGTTGGAGACCCCTGGTCTAGACGCAGGTTTATTGATAGGTAATTTGGTGGGGAGAATATGGAATAAACAGTCTGCAACGAGGGTTCACAGTGACTTTGATCAGATCAGAGTATTCCTTTGCAGTAGTGTTTTGCAACCCGGTCCTTAGGGACATCCAGATCGTCCATATTTTTGTTCTCTCCCAGCTCCCAACACACCCATGCCAGGTATTCAGAGTTCTTGATTGGCTGGAAGCTGGGAGGGACTGGGCAAAGTAAATCTAGCCTGATGAAGGGGTACAGTGATCCATCCATTGTTTGTATCAAATCATCCTATACAGGATCACAAGGGTTCAGAGCATATGCTGGGAGAAATTTGCTAAAAGCAAGAAATAACTGATGCTGGGGCACCAACCCATCGCAATGCACACAAACCACTCACACCTATGGATGTACTTGGGGAGTGGTGAGGTCCAAAGATGAGGCCTTATACGTCTGTAACTGACTGTATTGAGAAAATAAAGCCAATTCAGTGTGTGTCTTAGTGAAGGGAAGGCCAGCAATGGCCTTATGATTTATTCATTAAAGTGTGCCAAGATACTTTGCATGTTGTCTGGTTCTCCTGCCCGCCGCATGTTGATGGTGCCAATTCAGTCCCAGTTCTATCCTCCAAAAATTCCCAAGTGATTTGAATTTGTTTGCAGAAGTTTTACAAAACTTATTATAAACGTGAAATATTTAAAGTAGCAAAATATGAGGTCTAGAGTATAAAAAAGACACTAAGTGTGAGCCTGTGGTCAGACGAAACAGAATGAATACGGAACTGTGAGATGTGGATGTGGTTCTCATGCACAGTGGGGCCCTGACATTTATATATATATATATATATATACACACACACACACACACACACACATATATATATACACACACACACACACACATATATATATATATATATATATATATATATATACACACACATGGAAACAGGCATGAAATGTGAGTCGGGGGCTTTGTACCCCCTTTATCAAGTATGTAACCTATTTGCATGGTCTTGTCCAAAACCCTAAAACAAATTTTGTAGAGTTTATATATATATGCTTGTTTCTTTTGAATCCAGCATATTGCCTGATAACTGCAAAAACTGTCTTACACACCAAAAAAGGAAATTGACCAACATTTACTACTAGCATGATTCATACAGTTAATTATTTTAATCTTGGTGTTTATTATTTAAATTTTATCAAAAGCTGGTGATCTTGAATGAGCAAGCATGTCATATTCAAAACGTTAGTGCAGCAGAGTGTAGCAAAAATGTAATGAACTGACCATTAATAAAATATCACCAAGGTTTTATATGCAATTTAATTAATATGTTTTAACTACTCAAAGTATTTAAATATTTGAAGCAGTAAAATCATCCTACACCTACAGTATAATTCACAACTTAACTGCAGAAGTAACACCTCAGTTTTTGTATTTAACCAGCCATTTGACACATACTAAGTCACTTTTCACAGGAACTCTGTCAAAGGAAGAAAATGAGAACTGGAGAGACAAAGACTGCAGTGAAATATATTTTTGTTGGGCTCCTCTTCACCATTGAATATCCTGCCATGGGTAAGCGACAGTAAACACTGCAAGAAATTAATTTGATTTGATAAAGTTTATACAAGATTTTAGAATATTTAAACCTAGACATTGGCAGACGGTTGTTTCTATGAACAGTTAAAAAAACCTTTTGGGACAAACCAAACATCGCATGTCTGATTTTCTCAAAAAGACTTATTTTATAAAATATTACACACTAATTATACTGTTAGAGGAACACAAATAAAATAGAAGACTATACACTCAAGAGTATAGTAAATATTAAAATGAGTGAAATGTAGGAATATTTTTATGTCTTGAACAGCTGAAAATACAATTGGAGGGATTTCCCATGTATTTTTTATATTGTATTATATGATAAAATATTGCATGCATTTAATACATAATCTACTCTGAATATACACTCACCTAAAGGATTATTAGGAACACCTGTTAAATTTCTCATTAATGCAATTATCTAATCAACCAATCACATGGCAGTTGCTTCAATGCATTTAGGGGTGTGGTCCTGGTCAAGACAATCTCCTG